CTAGAAGTCAGAAGAGTTAATTCTGGTTGACAATTAATGGAAAATGTGATGACCGTATTTCTCATCTCCTTCCACATTCAATGAATTTCCTCATCATTGATTTTTCTTCTATCCTAATGCATCTAATAAATTAATAATATGTTATAAAAAAGCATATAGAAAGAAAGCTTAACAGCAAAATCTGGAATCAATTGCTGATTTCTAATAAGTGTATTTTGTACACTTATCTGAATCGTTACATGAGATTAATTGTTGTGAATTTTATGAATTATTTTTAATTATATATATTTTGCTTGTTTGGAGAAACTCGATGCACTTTGGTGATCTTTGCTACTGGGCTGGACATTTCATCGTAGTCCAATCCATATTGTTGTGAAAATCCACGAGCTACTAGCCAAATTGTATAATTTTCAATTGATCAATCACAGTCTCTTTACTTTGTATACCCCCATTTTCTCCTATAGGGTTCACTCCATGGGGCCTGGGCTTCAATATTTAATTGTATACTTTCCATCTACCCAAGTATACGAATAACACCAACGGATATACATGTATCAATATTTAACGAGCTGTTGTATGTGCTTGTGAGAAACACTAAGAGTCGAAGAACTGCCTGAGTCATCTTCAGTTGCTATCAAATTTACAGCCCTATAATCCTTAGAACCAGATGGTGGCTTGTGGAGTCGTGGTTGGGAGGATATCCATAGATTTCCCAGCATGAGTCCACAGTATGGCTAGTCCTCCCACACTTGCTACATAGTGCCTTATTCTTTGACGAAATCGGGTAGAAACGAGTTTCTCGATGATTGCATTGACCAAAAGAATATATAAGTTATAAATGGAAACTATTCTAAAACAAAAGTGGAAAATGGAAATCATTAGTATTTTAGTATCACCATTTTTCTATTTGTATTGTTTTATTGAAAGAAAAAAAAAATTATGCTAGGGACCAGCAGGCCAGGCTCTCTTATACGTAGCTGAAGTGAAGAAACTCATATATTATAATCTAATAAGAGAATTTTACTTTTTCTTTGGCAACCACTACAGATCCTTACAGAAAAAAATGCAACAAATATTAAGATGACTTTACATGCGTGCTACCATCTTTAAGCTTAAGCTGAAAATTATTTTCCTTGGCCTTCCAATCAATATGTAGTTTCCGATTAATGTGCTTTTTGCAATATTGATTGTGAGACATGACAGCACATTTGATGCAGTACCTTCATCGTGATGTTTTCCTTTCAGCCACCCAAGTCACTATGGGTCCTTGATTCATAAATATGCTACCAAATATGAGATATTTCACCTCATCAAGGTTGTATTCGTGGTAGATATCACCTCTTATTTGCCCTTTCCTTAGTGTGGTCCTCCAAGTAAGACAGCGCAATTAATGACACAACTACCAACACGGTAAAAGGACCTCCGAATATTCCATATGCCAATGCTGCATACGATTAATGACAGCGCGATTAATGACACAACTACTAGCAGGTTTATCTCAAATGGTCACATCCTTGATTGAGGACGGGCATACAATAAGAAATCTAATCAAAAGATCGATGTTGTCATTTGATTCCGCTTCATAATGCAAAAGAGTGATCGAATGATGTCAGATAATCAATCATGCCTAACATGCCGCTTCACAGTGGTGATGTGTCTATTACTCAAAGGCAGGTTCAAAGGGATATGATCTTCAAGGTTCAATTTCCTCCCCAGCGTTGGCTTTGACCATCATTGTAGGATTTTAACCTAGAAGACTACACTTTCCTTTGTTGCCTTCAGGGTTGTTGAATGTGTTAATTAAATTGAACTTGGAGATCTGTTCTTCAACCTCAGGGATCATAGCTCTAATTCGTGTGCGAACAAATGCTTGAGATCGTGTTTGCTCTTATTTACATTTCCGTCTACGTTATTTTTTAATTTACTCTTTTCTTTATTGTTTTATTTTTATTTTAGGTATGGTTAATACACAGTTAATTACTTTTAGGTTTTCTTAACAAAGTTTTTGATTAAAATATATAGCTTTTTTTTTTCAGTTAAAACGATGCCTCTCTTCCGGCTACTATAATGCTGCTGACTGCCTTAGTGTCTCACGAACCAAAAATCTTGGCTCCACCATTGAAAATAACAAACTTGGTTTATCCATGAATTTCAAACTCATAGCCCATAAGTGCAAGCCCTTCAATTTAGCCTCCATTAGCTAAATTCATAAATCATTTATAAATTGTTCAAATTTCATTTTCAATCACACATTCTAATGGATTAACCAATTGTCCATTACTTATTTTTATAATTTTTTCGCAAACAGAGGCTTAAACAGACGCTAAGTTATTACAGCTCAAACGAAAGTTAAGAACTTCCTCAAGCAAGACATGAAAATTAAAACGGTAAGACATTGCGCACTAAGATGTCCTTTTTGCAATATTGATTGTGAGACGTGACAGATGTAAAACGGTAATGCTTTCCTTTCAGCCATCCGAGTCAATATGGCTCCTTAATTCCTACCAAATATGCGAAATTTCGCCTCATCAAGGTTGATTTCGTGGTAGATACCACTGCTTATTCCCGCTTTCCTTATTATGATCGTCCAGGGAAGCATCACCAAGATAGGCAATATGACTAATAACGGAACTGCAAAATTTATAAAAGGACTTGGGTATATTCCAGATGCCAATGCTAGATAGTCTACCAAAAATAGATGAAGAGGTAGCAAGAGAAAAAATTGGAGTACATCAAGTGTAAGTATTGTACACGTTCCCATTGCAAGAGCAAATGCGATTGAGTTGATCATTATAATATGGTTTTGGGTAGTTTTCTTGAATTTGGTGCTAGTTGAATTGGTTGAAGTAGTACCATTATAAACAAATGTGATGTTGGGAAAAACAGGAGTGGTATCATTGTGAGAAGTAGTATCATTATAAACAGATGTGATGCTGGGTAAAACAGGAGTGGTATCATTGTGAGAATTCCCAAAAGGGGGAGTGAGAGTGGTTTGAAACGTAGCAGTTGCAATAAGCACAACTACTACTAGGATAGCGTTTCGCATATCCCCAGACACACCGGACTCCACGTAAGCACCCAATTTGGAAAAAAAATCTATAATCGTTGGACGTGAGTTCAAATAATTTTCACAACTGGTGGCATCATTGACAAGTGAGGAACCTTCTTTAACCTAGAAGACTAATTCCATTGTTGTCTTCAGGGTGGCTGAATGTGTTAATTAAATTGAACTTGGAGATTTGTTCTTCAACCTCAGGGATTATAGCTCTAATTCGTGTGCGAATAAATGCTTGAGATCGTGTTTGTTCTTATTTACATTTCCGTCTACCTTATTTACTAATTTACACTTTTCTTTATTGTTTTATTTTTATTTTAGGTATGGTTAATACACAGTTAATTACTTTTAGGTTTTCTTAACAAAGTTTTTGATTAAAGTATATAGCTTTTTTTTTCCAGTTAAAACGATGCCTCTCTGTCTTACAGCTACTCTAATGCTGCTGACTGCCTTAGTGCCTCACGAACCAAAAATCTTGGCTCCACCATTGAATATAACAAACTTGGTTTATCCATAAATTTCAAGCTCATAGCCCATAAGTGCAAGCCCTTCAATTCAGCCTCCATTTGCTAAATTCATAAATCATTTATAAATTGTTCAAATTTCATTTTCAATCACACATTCTAATGGATCAACAAGTATTAACCAATTGTACATTACTCATTTTTATAATTTTTTGCAAACGGAGCCTTAAACGGACGCTAAGTGATTACAGTTCAAACGAAAGTTAAAAACTTCCTCAAGCAAGACATGAAAATTAAAACAGTAAGACATTGCGAGCTAAGATGTGCTTTTTGCAATATTGATTGTGAGACATGACAGAACATTTGATGCAGTACCTTCATCGTGATGCTTTCATTTCAGCCATCCAGTCACTATGGGTCCTTGATTCATACCAAATATGAGAAATTTCGCCTCATCAAGGTTGATTTCGTGGTAGAAATCACCTCTCATTCGCCCTTTCCACGTTATGATCAACCAGGGAAGTATCACCAACAAATGCAGAATGAGTATTGACGGAACTGCAACATAGATAAAAGGACCTGAGTATATTCCATATGCCAATGCTCCATAGCTCACCGAAAATAGAGCAAGAGGTAGCAAGAGAAATATTTGGAGTCGATTAAGTGTAAGTATTGCACACGTTCCCATTGCAATAGCAAATGCGATTGAGTTATAAATTATACTCCCTTTTGCCAGTCTTGTGGTTATTTTGTTGAAGTTGGTGCTAGTTGAATTGGCTGAAGTAGTATCATTATAAACAGATGTGATGCTGGGAAAAACATGAGTGGTATCATTGTGAGAAATCGCAGCAGGGGGAGTGAGAATGGCTTGAAACGTAGCGGTTGCAATAAGCACAACTACTACTAGCATTGCGTTTCGCATATCCCCTGACAAACCGAGCTGCACGTAAGCACCCAATTTGAAAAAACATTCTGTAATCGTTGCACGTGAGTTCAAATAATTTTCACAACTGGTGGCATCATCGACGAGTGAGGAACCTTCTTTAGCTCCTGCGCTTATTAAAATTTTCCTCGCTTCTACATTTTCAGGTTCTAGGATATCCAACGCAGTCTTACCTCCTAAATTCTTCGTATTCACATGCACATACCTGATTAATGACTTCATAACCTGAAACCATAAACAAGAAGTTTTATAAAATTATAACTGAACAAAAAAAGGGTTTACTAAACAATACCTGGTTTAAAGAAAAATGAAAACCATTTTATTTTATTGATTTTTATTAATTTCTGGTATTTTTAAAGAAAAATGATAAAGTGATCTAGTATATGCCAGCGGACACATCTTGGCCCCGATAAAGGGGTAATTGTTTGTTGTAATCATCCTTTTGAACTCTAAACTTTGAAATCGAGTGAAAATCTAGTATTTGAGACTTCATCAAAGTAGATCTCAACTCGGTTGCGGGACTTTTAATTTTTTATATGGTATACATTTTCTAAAACTCATTTTTATACAAATTAATTTTCTATCACACATTCTCACAATAAAAAAATTTTACAAATGAATCCATAATTTTTCCTACTTTTTAATCACAATTTCTTCAAAAATATGATTTTCCATAAAATATATCCTCAAAAAATCTTACATCAAACAGGTCTAAGAACGAAACTGGATAAAAACTTTGCGTTCTTTGCTTTTGTACTTTCTTGGGATTTCTAGGCTCAATAATGTCAATGGTTTGGACAAACAAACCTCACATGAGCCCTGTCGTCGTTTCCTAGCAGCGGGTTGGGTTCAGTTTCAAGTTTAATAAAGGAATTATCTACTGATGAAAGTTAATTGGAGGAGATTTTAGGGAATTCATTCTCAATTAAATAAATGGAGGTTTAGTCAAAGGAACTTACCTCCTGTTGGTCTGTTAATGCTGCAAGATGCATCAGGGTATTTCCTTCCTCGTTTCTCCATCGCATCACTGACATCCTATTGGCCCTCCCAGCCCAACCAAACAAAACCTTAAAAGCTCTAAGATTGTTATTTCTTACAGCAATATGCACAGCAGTCTCATCTCGAACGGTCAAGTCATATATTGAGAGTGGACATATGAGAAGAAAATAAATCAAAAGATCAATTTCCTCTTTTTCCACTGCGTAATGCAAAAGAGTGATCCCTTCCCTCCCTTGGACACGAATGAGCTTCGGATCATGCTTGACGAGTCGTCTCCCAGTGTTGGTGTGTCCATTACCCAAAGCAAGGTGCAATGGACTAAGACCATCAAGGTTCAATTTCTTTCCCAGCGAAGGTTTTAGCCTCAAGATTTCAAGGGCAAGGCCGGTACGGCCTTCTGAAGCAGCAGTATGAAGAGGTGACTCCACAAATGTCATCTCATTGGGGACATCCAAGTACTCTGGATTGTTGTGTATTTTGTTGTACAATGCAACTATATCTGGATCTTGAACACTGTTCATTCTGCAAACTCGAAAAGTGCTCTGAGTATTTCAATTGGATCTGATCTGAGTTTCTTTATGGGGGGAAATTGAAAAGTGCAAACTATCTTCCCACGAACCGTAAATTTATAGGCTTTTCCCATCTTTACAGAAGAAGCAGAAACAAAAATTGGCCAGAATAGACTAAAACAGTAGACTACGCAGTGTATTTAAAGAAAAATGCTATTCATCTTCAGTGGGGATACATCCCCAATTTATGTGAATGTAAATGATTGGTTAAATGATAGGTGAAATTAAATGACTTATTTAATTTCACATATCATTTAATGCCACATTAACGCCATACAGATTGGGGAAGCATCTCCAATGGGGATGAATAGTATTTCTCGTATTTAAATATTGCAAAAAAATGGCGGGCCCCACCTGCCTGTGTGTGGTCTAGTGTGTTTCTGTGTGTTTCTGTGTTGTACAGTTTTTATGTACCCAATAGAATTCAAAGTTATATTTCCTCAACTACTTTCCTTAAATGATAATATATTTTCACACCTAACGGTAAAACTCAATAGAATATTTTTAATTAAGTATTTCGAAGTAAAAGAATATTTTTTAAAGACTTGCCGATATGGATTAAAAATGTGAGAACCTGTCATTCTCGTCACCTCCCCCATTCCATGAATTTCCTCGTTGTTGACTTTCCTTCAATAATAATATATTTTTCACACCTAACAATCAAACTCAATAGAATGTTTTTGATAAAGTATTTCAAAGTAAAAACAACCATGTCTCGCAATAGTGGCATTTCAAATTATATAGACTTACAAATTCGAACAGAATTCTTTCTCTACCATAATCATGACTTTGATGTATAAAAAAACTATTTTTATGAAATGTTTTAATGCAAAATCAACAAAGAACATGATATGGAATGACTAAATGGCGTACGGGGGCCCTTTATATAGAATGTGAGGGGCTGTGGTGTCTAAAACTCAACATTTTTCATGAAAGGTCACAATCCAATATGTCGCTCACCTACCGTTGGAGCGCCGCTCGAGCACCAAACGTAGAAACCTGTCACTCGCCTGGGACTGGGTTGCCGCTCAAACGGCTGTCTTATGTTAGTTTTTTTTCTCATTTTCCTTCAAACTTTGGACTACAATTTTTTATGTATCCGAAATTGAGTTTTCAATTATACCAAAATCATTTACTAAATGATCATAACATGTTAGTCTATTTATTTTCATAATTTGACTATTGAATTAAATTCAAATATTTGGCCGAAATTTGACAAAAAAATTCACTTTTCAAGGTTTTATATTATACCAATTTCCATCAAACAATAACTGGTTTAAACAAAAATGAGAACCATTTTATTTTATTTATTTTCTGGTATTTTTTGCTAAGCAAATCACTATCACTGCTTTCTTAAAAGAGAGGCTTTGGGTTCACTATTCATTCACAAATCCTCTTCACATGATACTGTTGCAGGTGCGGAGAAAAGAGAAAAAAACATCCGGCCCCCCTTATTGACTTCACAAATGAGTGTCCAATTTCCATAATACCCTCCATTGTGATATTTGTTTGTTGACTGACCGAGTCAATATCTACCATGAATATATAGACACGTTAGTAAAATAATTGTTGACTGATTAGCTGCGTTACCTTCAAAAGTAAGGCTTCCATGATGAAAAAAAATCATGCATTTATGATTTCCATGCAAGGAAAAAGGTAAGCTGTATTCCTTGCCCATTAAGTAATTTGATTTCCACAACTTCACGTTGGTGCAATGCTTGATTATATTTTACCAGTTTTCACACTACCTTTAAATTAAATACAAATGCACTAAAAGCAATTGAAATGACATAGTTTGTTCTCTCATTTTGATATCAAAACAAGAAATAAGACTATTCGACTTTCATACGCTTGAGCTTCCAATTTGTCTGAATCTTAAGTTCCGAACCACCACTGAAGCTCTTTCTTCCCTCTAAAGTTGCAGCGCCTTTCACTCAGTGACAAGGCGAGTTTTCATTTATCCCTCTTTCCATAAAAAATGTTGTCATGGTGTCTTTAACAATAAATTGGTTTTGAACATTTGGGTTATAAGGTAGAATTTGTGCTACTCATGTTTTCTTTCTTATGTGAAAATTGAGGACCGTGTCCACGCGGATTCTCCGTGATGCACACACAAAGGTCGGTCTTATATTAATGTATTTTTCGATTCGACTAAAAAATATCATTAGACTGTGATAAATATTTAAGGATATATTTATTACTTTGACTTAATAGAAAATAAGACAATTTTTTTTTATGTCTGATATATTAAATTTCAAGGAATTCATTTGAGCATGTCCAATAGATGTAGTTCCAGCAAAAAAATTCGTAAAAAAAAAAAAAGGAGAAAAGTGATGTTTTCTGTTTTATGATAAATTAATTAATTATGCAGATGTTACTTACTAATTAACATGAATATTCTGCGACAATTTCAAATGTGGATTATGTTGTGGATGAAAATTAAATGAATGGTTTATATAGGCTGGAGTGATATATTATTAATATTATTATCTGATTATTATTGTTTTTATTGTGAATATTATGTAATTGAAAATTTGTTAAAAATGAGCAGTGATTATTAATTACAAATAAAATATTTTTTTTAATACTAAATGTAAAAAAGAAAAAAAAAAAAAAAAAAA